TACTTTTGGTACAATACCAAACATTGTCAATGACCCTGTATAAAGTAAAAACTGACAAAACTCTGTTGCTTTCCATTGTTTGTAACCACTTAAAGATCTTGGTTTGCAGTAGAATTTTTTTGGCATACTGTTTTGTAAATCTAGTAAGTTTGCTGATATATTATTTACCACCTTTAATGGAAATCGGTACTTTTAGTCTCCTTTCATCTACAAATTTATCATTCTTTTCTGTACAACTAAAAGAACTAAATGCATATAGTCTAATCATTAGATCGCCTTTAATTGAGTTAGGTTTGGAATTAGTTACTCAGGTACCATTAGACTAATCGTACCTGAGTAACTAATCCCAAACCTAACTCAATTAAAGGTGATACAAAATTAGGTAAATAATGATCTTTATCTATCTGCAAACAAAAATCACTACCAGCTCTTAGTCTTGCATTGACTTCAGGGTATATTACTTTATGTCCAATATATACACCTTCCTGACAGCATCTTTCACAAACATAATAGCCACCATGGCTATTTATACACTTTAATTGAAGCATTTAAATAAGCTTAATAATGTTTTCCTAAATGGTTTAATTCCCTACACATTAAACTTTTCATTTCATCAATAAAGTTTCTTAAATACTCAGTAACTGATAAAGTTTTATAACGCAATAAATATTTAGCTATTGCAAAATTATATCACTTTAGATTATTATGAGCTTTTTTTTTTCAATAAACACACTTGACGGAATATTCCGTAATCAATTCAAACGGAATATTCCGTCAAATTAGTTAAATGAGCTGGCCAAAATGGGACCCATCTGGAGCCCGTGTCTTGTAACCCATGTCCAGGTTAAAAACCACATGGGGCCCATATGGACATGTTGGCTGGGTTTAAGCAATACTCAACATCAGCTAATACCTTTCATCTTTTTGTCCAAAAGCTCATTATTGAAACTTAACTTTATCTTAAGTTTATAAAAATTTAATATTAACTAAAGCTGGTATATATTAAAAAAAATAATGCAGATAGATAATAAGCTTTAATGAAATTTCATTATTTTATTTACATTATGATAAAACATTGTTATATAACTTTAACAATATTGTTATAGTTATACATGTTTAAAAAAAAAAAAATAGTCTTTTTATTTTTGAGTCTTAAAATATAAATCTATATCTATATTTATACTTTACATTATAAAGTAAGTATAAGCTCTAAGTAAGATATAAGTATAGTTATATGATTATAACAATGTTATAATCATATAAATTTTAATCTATAAGCAATAACTATAGTTATACTTTATAAAGTTAAATATACCCAGTAAGCAGAAAGACGTTTAAAAGACGTTTAAAAGATGTCTTTAAGGAGGTCTAAAAGGCGCACTTATAGGCGTCTAGATCATAAGGCTAAAAGACAACTAAATGAAGACGTCTTTATAAAAACGCGTTTTAGACGTATGTTAGACGTTTTTTTCAAGATAATTTCAAGTACATGACGTAAAATTTTCGCGTAGTATGTGGTATATATTCATTGTATTTATAACATAATATATTGTTATAATTTCGTATATACAAAATAGGAACCAGCAATCAAAATAATATTGCTGTAATCACCACCAACGGTTGATGCATCAAAGATGAAAATAATATGTAACATTAACAAATATATATCAACCCAGTATTTAAAACATTTCTAACTTACCTTTAGTTATAATATAATTTGATATTCTCGTTTCTAGCTAATTTTTGATCGCATACTTGACTTATTATATGGCTTGTGGGTGTATAAAAACTAAAAGTACTGATATTTAACTTATATATTATTCTTGCCATTTTCACTTATTATCATGATCAGTCAACTATCTATTAAAAAAGCAAAATAATTATTAATAAAAAAAAGATATATTATTATTATAGCAATTATTTTAGTGATTCCTCTGACAACAATATTAGCAATTGTGTAAAAAAGTAATTTAATTTAAAGTAATTTACACTTAAAACTTGAACAAATTATTGAAAATAATAAAAACTATGTTTTTACTTTGAATATACGACATCTACTTAACGCGTAATGACAAAGCCGTCAAAAAGAAGTCATAATGACATATTTATAAACAGGTCTCAGAAAAGACGTCTTTTAGCTTTGATCTAGACGTCTTTTAATGCGTATTTTACGCCTTTTAAACGTCATTTTAAAAACGCATTCATAAAAGACGTCTAAAAGATGTCTTAAAAACGCTTATAAAAGTGCGTCTTTACCTAGACTAGTTTTAGACGTCTATAAGTGTCTAAAATGCGTCTTGTGCTTACTGGGTAGATATTGTCAATATCTACAAATATTGACAATATCTATATTTAACTTTATAAAGTATATATAATTTATATTGTATATATAATTTAATATTGAATCTATATTAATAATTTAATATTGAATCTATATTTATTTTGTAAATACAGATTCAATATAAAATTATAAACATAAATATACAGTTTATATTTTAAGACTCAAAAATAAAAAAACTAATTTGATTTTTTTTTAATCTTATTCATTTATTACTTTGTTAATTAACTATATTGTTATACATATATTACTTTATTAGCGTTATAAACATTAATTGAATTATTTTTTAAAAATAAATGAATGTAATAATAATAATTTGAAGAATATATTTAAACACTAATAAAAAAAAAATCATAAAACTTTGTTATTAAACAGTCTCAATATAAACATCGATCGATCAAAGTGTCAGGCGCTTGAAATGCTTGTTTAAGGTGTTATTACGACAGCGTACTGTTATCCAAAAGCCAACTCTAGATTTTTGTTGGCAAAACTATAGTGCATCGCCACCTATTTACCGAAGCTGGCATGCCTGTTTAATAACGCATATTCAACGAAGCGTTTTGTCGCTGTTCAGCCGGCAGCGGCAAGCCAACAAAAAATGGCATAGTGGACCTTCAGCGTTTTTGCAACGACGGCAACCCGCATTAGGTTTAACAGTGGACCAGCATCGGCATACCGGCGGCGGTTTTACGCATCACGGTCCGATAAAAGCATGTTTGCTGGGTACATAGATAGATTTATAAGGAGCAAATTATTAAAAGTTTGCAACAAAAGCGAACAAAATTATTAATTCCAATTATTTATTAAAGCAGAAAAGCATTTAGAAAAAATAACGCGGAAAATCAAATATTTTTAAAAATTTCAGGAATTTTCATATATCATTTAAACAACGCTATAAAAAAGTAGTTTATAAAAAGTATAGCATTGTGAAAAACGTTACGTAAAAACGCGCGTTAATTTTGAAATCAACCAATAGAAAATTTTTTATCGGTTAATTTTAAAATTAACGCGCGTTTTTACGGTCCATTAGTAACGTTTATCATAATGCTAAACTTTTAATAAGATACGTTTTCATAAAGTTGTTTGTCACGTTTTTATAAGTTACTTTAGTTTTAATATTATTTGAACGTCTACTTTATTATTATAGGTATTTTTCTACTTCAATTAAAATTTGGGAATACTAATGTTGCTTGAACAAAGAATGAGTTTTAAAAGTTATAAGTGCATTATAAAAATAATAACACTATTATAATGTTATTACTTTTGTAATGCAGTTAGTGACTAGAGTGTTATTTCTTTTGCAATCATAAGTTTATTGTTTTATTTTTTTTTTTTTTTAGCTAACAAATTTAAGTTGATTCTCCCCTTAAAAACAAGGAACACGGTTTTGTAACTAAAGTTTTGAATACTAGATATTTTTCCAGACATTTGCGTTTTACATTTGCTCAATTAAACCCTTGTTGTGATATAAAAATTATATAAATAAATTTTACAAACACGATGCAATTTGTATTTTTTCTATCATTTTAAAAATTCTTTTTATTGTAGACTTCATTCTGTTTTTTTGTTTTTTTTTTGCATCGCCTTATCTAATTTTGTTGCTGAATGTGACTCTAAAGAAACAAAAATAAAAACAGTACACAAATTATTTAAATTATTTGATTTTTTTCTTTTTTTTTCTATTTCAATCTCTTTTTATTTTGTTAGTTTTTTGTTTTGTTTTTTGTTTTTGAAACTTTTTCAACATTATTATAAAACTTGCAAACGGCTGTGTTCACGTTTTCTAAAATAGTGTAATTCCATGTGGTCATACGAGAAAAAAAACCGCACGCCTTTCATGTGAAGGCTTGACAAGATGTCAGTAATGGCCCAAAAAGTTTAATTTATTTTTCTAAATTTTAGAACAAAAGTAGGTTATGGCATCACAGACATGTCAATAAAAAATTTATTTTACATAATGTAATAGGCAAGGTTTAAAATGATAACATTCAATGAATATTGAAATATATTTATTTAGGTCTTCTTAAAACATTTATTTTTTAATAAATAAATTAAAAAGTGTTATTAAACAATAGTATCAGAATAACTCTTTTATTTTTTATTAAAAAAAATATGTAAGGTTATGCCCATATCCCTTTTTTTTTCTAAAAAATAAAATACAAGCTTAATAAAAACAAAATCACTAAAAAAAAAAAAATTAAGATAAAAGAAAAGCTAAAACAAAAAAAAAAAAAAAAAAAATTTAAAAAATTAGGAATGTTCCTTTTTACTTTTTACCTGTATTATATAAATTACTAATTATTTCTTTACTTACTTTTTTTATAATACGATCCTAATGTTGCTATTATAATTTATCTACTATTTTTAAAGTAATATGTAATAATTAAATTCAAAAAAGTAAAAAGTTTTAATTTGCTTGGTAGTTTTTTCTTGAATGAACGCGTGCATTTTAAGAACGCGCTCTTTTAAGTTCAGAAAAACCAAATAACTAATTAGAACTACTTTAAAAACGAAAGTGAAACAACACTATTAAATTACTGTATTAATATTATGATTGTTAGTTTCCATGTGTATGTTATGTAAAATACAATTAAAAGTGCTCAACAAGTATAAACTTGGGACTTAATATATTAATTACTTAAGATTTTTTTTCTCTCTAAAGGTTAATGTTACAAAGACGAACGTTGCAAACATTACAGATGATTTGAATAATGTTATATTAAATGGAAGTCTATCAAAAATATCTGAGATTTTGAGGATTTCAAATATTCTCAAAAATATAATCAATATTAACTCTTCGTCAGATGTGGTACGTGTATAAATTTCTATGATTATAAAAATGTTTAAAATATTATCAAGGTTTTTCCCAAGTTACTAGTTTTAGTGTTATTAATTCTTGACTTTTATATTTGTGTGATAACAAAACAATAAAATAGTTTATAAAAAAAAAAAAATTAAAATCAAACTGCAAACAAAAATAACATCGAAATTTTTGTAAGATTCAAGTAAATTTATAACTTTAGAATTCTTTAGGCTGACTTATCTTTAACCATTTTGAATATCTTTTTTTGAGTAAAACCAATTAGTAATGATGCACTTAAAAATAATAATGTTTTATAACCTTTCTGTTGAACCAAGTTTTGATTTCTTTTGTTATCAATATTCCGCACTATATCTTTGGAAAAAAAGTTTTTTTTCAAATCTTTTTGTTATATATCCAATACTTTTCCCATTTTGAAAGTAAACTGAAAAATTTAATTCTTTCAATGAATGATTTGGTCAGGTACCTTTAATTTTAATTGTGTATTTATTTGAAACTTTTATTGTGAAATGCTTTTTATTAAAATCTTTTTTTTTCCTTTAAAAATTTTTTTGAATCTATATTTACATATTTTAAATAAATTCTGAGTCTGTTCATACCTTTCTGATTTAGATTTGTTTTACCATTTAGGTATTAGTTAGGTTTTTTCGTTTCAGTTAAAATTTTGCCTTAATCTGATGTAGACTTAATCTGATGTAGACCCTAGATCTAATCTGTTCTAGCAAATATGAATTAAATGTAATTGTCAAAGCAAAACATTTCTATCAATTTTTATGCTAAAAAAATTAAAACTTTGACCAAGAACATGCTTATAATTAGGAAAAATTGCCAATAAACAATCAAAGCAGATCATATTTTTAAACTAAAATGTTCATTTTACCTAAAGAAAGTCTTGATATAAAATCTTTTTTAAATTTAGACAAGCAATTGTAATATTAAAGATATTTTTTTTTAAAAAAATTTTCTTTTACGGCAAAATTTTATTTTACGGCAAAATTTATCATTAACAGAAACATTTCTGTGAGCAAAATATTATAAAGCCGCTATAGTATTTTAAATTGCTTTCACTATACAAAATATATATAAGAAGTTGTAAAGGGCATATTTCAGTAAAAGTAAAATAAAAATTTTCTTAATATAAACATATATCTCATGTCTCCCAATGTTTAAACTTACAGAAACTTTGTTTAATTATACATTCTTTACATTGAAACATTTTTCTTCGACCTTTGAAATCAAGTCAAGATTTAACTATAAAATTTGATTTTTTTTGAATTTTAGTTTTTTCATTTGTTTTTTTATTTTAAATTATTGTTTAGGTTAAAAATTGAACTTTGTTATTTTAGGTTACAAATGGTATCTTATCGACTGTAGACAATCTTTTAAGTTTGAATAGAGATTTAGTTAAGCAAGCAAATGAAAAATTAAAATCATCAGTGGTTTTCTTATCTCAACTGGACATTTTGGCCCAGCAGCAAACCTCAAATATCACTAAAGCGATGAAAAATATTGGTTTTACATCATATACTTCATTAGTAAATAGTAAAGCTATATATATTTATTCTCTTGAAATAGAAGGTAATATAAGTGTAAGTATATCAAGCAATGATCCTATAGGTGAATTTACAAACTTAAAAGACTATATAGTTTTTCCTTCACAACTTTTCAGTGAGCAAAGTCAAATCAAAGTTTATTCTTATGTATTTCGAGACAAAACATTTTTTGAAGAAAGAAACAGAAAAATAGATAGTGTGATACTTTCCGCAACTATAAGTGATGCTTATGTTAAAAACTCCAACCATCCAATAAAAATGAAGTTTTCTAGTCAGAAAAGTGTTTTTGGCTCTAGAACTTGTCAATTCTACAATGTTGAAAGTATGTTTTTTTTTTATTAATTTTTAAATAATTTAAGTTTGAATAATAGGTTTCGATAGTTTCAAATAAGTTTTCGATGTTTAACTGAATTCATTAAACGTTTACTTTTAATATCTCAAATTTTGGCGTAATTATATGCACCAAACTATCAAGTTAAGTATTTATAGAGACTCATGAAAGTAAACTAAAAATTGATGCATAACCATTAACTGATATTGTTTAAGTTTTAAATTTAGTAATATTTTTCTATAAATTTAGACCTTGAATTTAGATATTATTAAATATACCATTTTATTTTGTTTTCAATCATTTTACTTTTAATGTTTTAAATTTATTTATGAAGTTTAATTAATATACTTGCTCTAACTTTCTGAAAAAATTTTTTAATCTTTACAATCAACTTGATTTTTTATTTTGTGTTTCCATGTCTCTTAATTTTTTTTAAAGTTAAGATCTAAAAAAAAATATTTATTGAAAAAAAAAAAAAAAAATCATTTAGTATTTATATTATGAATATATTACAATATAGTTATTAAAAACATAACAAATGTATTAGATGCACTTTAGTGTTGTAAATCAGATTTTTTGATGTTTTAAAAAATACACTTTCAAATTCTAAACTTAATTTAATGCATGTGTCAAATAAGGATTTTTGCAATAAATTGCGGCAATTAGTCTTTAGTTAAATTAGTTTTGCGTTTAAATATATTTG